CGTTCAAGTCGAGTCGTGAGACGGATCAACCAAATTCGATTAGTCGATCATAAAACGCGTGCAATTACGTTGGAATAAATGCATCCGCATGAAGTTTTGCTCTATTCCAACGTTTCTGGAGCAAAAGAGTGGCCGAAACGAGCGCGGCCCAGCCCCATGTTGAAGTTCAAGTTGAATAGGCAGCCCTATGTTGAAGTAGCCTGTGGTCGTCAGCAGCCGCCGCCGGGCAGTGTGTGGGCCGCAGGGCTTCATGGATGTGCTCGGGGGCCGATGGAACGGCGTGTCCGGTGCTCTAGGCGCCTCGAATGGCTCACATGGACCACACGATGTCAATAAGTGCAACATAGGCGCGGGGAAGTTCAACATAAAATTACCATAGCCCGGCTCGACAGCCACAGGTGGCGCAGCAGTGTTATGAATTCCATGGAGGGCATCAGTTGTGAGCTTGTTTGAGCTCTAGAGCTCGAACGAGTCGATTCTCAGCACTCGTTTTGTTTGTTGTTGAGCCTTTGCAGCGAACCGACAATTAGGTAAGTAAGGACTAGTAGGGTACTAAAGAACGCTGATGTGAACGTTACGGGGAAGTGCAGTGCCATCTCCATAGTGTGACGTCGCGATAGGGAGGGAACAGGGTAATGTAAATTACGGGGATGATGGGGAATCACGAGGCTACTCAATTCAGATAGATCCCTTTTTCAAGTTCACTATACTGACTACGAGGAATTCCCTTTTTAGGTTCAGCCCCAGCCAGAGAACTCTTTGATGATAGCCTTTAGGAAGAGAAAAACCCGCTATTATCCTAACCAAGTCAAAATAGTACCATATTAGTCCTAACCACTAATACGAATTAACACTCCTGTCCATACCCTTGCTAGCATTGCGTCCAAGGACAAAAACAAAATCTGAAGACGAATACTCTGGGGTGATACTTCCCTTCAAGTAAGCGCTTTGTTGAATATTTAAATAGTACGACTTCCGACCCGAACCGGCGACCCCACACCCTTGAAATCCCTCAATCGATACGATTAGCGCGCTATCCTGATGAGCCGGCTTGGCGGGGGCATAATTCAACAATTTTGCCACGATTTCCGTCCGGTGGTCGACCTGCGTGCGCGCGGTCGACGGAGGACCTCTGGCAGTGGCAAAATCCCAGCCTGAGATTTCAGTGTCGCCCCCGAATGGGGCGCTGGTTAAAGCTATTCGTGACTAGCAATTCGAAACAATGAAGCATCAATATCCCCGATGTTGTGTTGTAAAGCAAGTTTCTGCAGTTGTTTTTTTCGCATCGCGGCAGTTTTGCTGTTTGATGACAAGTCGTATAGAGTGCATAGATTAAAGACTGTCACTTCGCGGAAATGGAGGCTCGGATCTTTCCAAATGGCATCTTCAAGCGAAGCAATAGCCCACTCAAGATCACATAAATAGAGCGCGCATATGGCCCGGTTATTGATAAGTTCAGATGCCACGTGCGCGTGATATGGCGCTAATTTTTGTTCCATAGAATCACTTGCGACGTTCGTGATTCTTTCCAAGCTGCACATCACCTTTGAATAGGCGCCCTTTGCGAACATGACCAGGCATCTGCAAGAATGCCTCATATGAGTCCCAAAATTGGTCTGTTGCGAGTGAACCACGGGAGTGTTTGCAAGCAGCATCCACTTCGATACACAGCAAAATGCGTGCTCTGCTTCACTCGTGCACCCCAATTGGAGAAACACACATCCGATGCAATAATCAAGCCAAGAGCACCTGAGGTTCAAAAGCTGGACATTTTCAACTCCCCTAGCCATGTCCCGCTCCTGGTATAGCAAGCCGCGTGCTTTTGTGAGCACGCTCAGGGCAAGTCGCCAGCGGTCCATGAAAACATACAGATTCGCCAATGTGAAGTGCACGGCCTGCTCCTTAGCAAGATCGTCGGCAGAGCATTTGATCTCACCCGCAGCCATTCCGCTGAGCATCAAACTATCTAGCATCGCTACCGTGGCTCTGTGTTTCTCAGTTCAGCTCATCTTCCAATTCGGCTGCGAAGAGATTGAGAACAAATCTAGATGGTAGCCGGGGAAACCAACTATGCACATCCACATAATCGTTTACTTCCTCATCACCCCTTCGGAAAAAAGGCACTTTTTTCATGTTTGGCACATGGCGAGGAGAAAAAAAAAAGAAAAAAAAAAAAGAAAAAAAGGAGGCGCCGAAGGCGCCGAAGGCGCCGGAGGCGCCGGAGGCGCCGGAGGCGCCGAAGCCAGGCGGAGCGACGCGCGGACTCGTCCCGCCGGCCCGTCTTTAAACCCCGCGGAATTATCCCAACGCGAGTTCTAGTTCGCGCCTCGGCCGCGCCCCCGGCGCGGGCGCGCCGGCGGGCGCGGGCGCGGGCGCAGGCACGGGCGCGGGCTCGCTCGCGCCTAGACCAAGGCCGCCAGGCTCTCGAGCGTCTCCGCGGCTAGCCCGAGGGCGTCGCGCTCGTCGTCCGCGGTCGTCTGCGCGGAGGCGTCCCGGACGGCGATCCCGATGGCGGCGCGCAGGTCGTGGTCGAGGGCCTCGAAGTCGGCGACGCGCCTGCGCTCGTCGTGCTCGCTCCAGGCCGTCGACTGGAAGAGGCGGCCCACGACGAGCTCGGCCCTGTTGCGGTCCGGGGGGCTCGCGTCGCGAAACGAGCGGTCGTGATGTTCGCGCGCGCGGCGCGCGCCACGCCGCGCGGAGGCACTGGTACACGCCCGGCATGTCGAAGAGCATCTTGCTGTCCGTCGCCGACGGCAGGATGCCCATCTTGAGCCGCGGGTAGACGACGCGACGCAGACACCGAAGTCGAGCCGTGTCGTGCTTTTTATAACGGCCGCTCTTAGCGCCGCCGCCGGCCTGGCGGTCCTTCATCGTCTGCTCCAACTGCTTGCCCTTGAGCAGGACGTCGAAGAGCTCGTCGCGCGTCGGCAGGGCGCCCATGGCGCCGGCGTCCATGGCGCCGGCGCCGCCGTGAACCGTTGGAGTCGCGTCGCAGCACCTGGGAAGACCCCCGCGCTTTTGACGATTGACGGGAGCCGCCGCGCCTGGGAAGACCCCCGCGACGACGGTCCCGCGACTCCGGCGGCGGCGGCTCAAGCGGCGCAGAGCTACCCAGCCCGCCTCTCCGAGCTCCTGCAGCGAGACACAATGCAAGATGATTCCCTTGTGATGGTGCCGTGCAGATCTTTTGTTACTTGCGACGAATCTTTTGTTACTTTGCGACGAATCTCCTGTCCGTCGCCAAGCATAGAATAGCTGCCGTGTTCGGAAAAATATCTCTTTGAGCGAATCCGTTGTTCTTATTAATCTACGTTGTGCAACCGATCGGCTGAATGTGTAAATAGGTTTCAGTGTCGTTACGCACCGCCGCTCCGATTGATTTTGAGGATAGCAGGAGTTACGAAATCGGCCCGGGAGCATCGGTAAATGACCATAGATCTATGTCAGCCGCTCCCAGCCACACGATGGCCGGCCGGAGAGTGGACTACCACGTCTTAGGGCCGCGTAAACTCTGCCCAAGTGCCGTCTGAATCACGAGCGTTGCAGCTGCTTCTTGTCTCAACGCGCCTACGAAGGTGTGGCGCGACTGCCCTGCGCCAGCGCCGGCAGCGCGGGCCGGACCGCTGCGGGGCTGCTGTGGGCTCCGGAGCGTGCCGTCATCGGGGCAGCCCCTGCGCCTCTACGCCGTCGTGGGGCTCCTCTGCAGGCTGCTGCAAGGAAACGTGGCCGGGGATGAGGGTGGCGGCGATGCTCAGCCACTTTCCCTCAAGGCCCCTGGCGACTACCCCCTTCCGCGATTAGCTTTGCAACACGTTGTGCCTGCTTGGCAGTCACTCCTTCAGTTCGCTGTCTATAAGACTTAAAACTGGATTAGAATGAATT